TATTTATTTATTTATTTTTCCCCCCAAAGGCCCAGTAGATAGTTGTATGTCATAGCTGCACATCCTTCTAGTTGCTGTATGTGGGACACGGCCTCAGCGTGATCGGAGAGGCAATGCGTTGCGTGCCCGGGATCCGAACCCGGGCCGCCAACACTAGAGCGCACACACTTAACCGATAAGCCACGGGGCCGGCCCTAAATGATTATTTCTAAAGCCATACCACATAGACTTTATAAAGTCATTGTCTAGCATTTGTTTGTTGAAAATTACATATCTTTATTTTCCTCTTATTTTTTGCCACTTTTTAAATTGAGTTTAATGGTAGCTCTATATTTTAAAAATACAAGGAAGCAGGTTTCTAGTTTGATCATTTGATATTTAAAATCGTAAAACAGACAATATTAAATTGAACTTTTATTTCAATGTTCAAAACATAGTATAGTAACATGCAAGGTTAATGAAAATAGTCTAATCTAGCAGGTAAACAGCATATATATCAAAGAAATACAGTAGCACATTTTACAGATGACATTATTGCAGATAATGTTATTAGCAGCTTGAAATACAGTGTTTAACTCTCCCTGCAGTCACCGTGCTAACAGAAAACAGGTTGCCTGGCTTGTGTTAATCTTTGATTTTATAAACAAGTGAGTAAATAAAATAGGATGTGCTCACGATAAGGATCTCTTTGCTTTAGCTCACTAGGGCTCAAACAAGGTAGTGAATATAGGTGTAATTTTTAAAATGGAAAATATATTCACAAGTATGAGGTCATGGTGATGAAAGACTGTTTTCAGAACGTAGAACTTCATTTATAGCTATTGAAATCTTTGCTGTAAACCAGGTATCTTTCTCATGCTACTTTGTTTTTGGTCTTTTTTCCACGTAGGTTTCATGCCGCCTCCAGTTCCACCACCTGCTGTGCCGCCGCCTGCTATTCCACCAGTAGTACCAACGTGTGAGTCTCCTACTTGTAGAAGTTTCTTCCTTCATGGTAGTGTTAGTGTGTCAGTTCCCATTCTTGTGAATTATTGTTAATTGTTTTATTATGAAGGTTTTCAGACAAATGCATTTTATTTTGTTAAATGATTTATAAAAAATTCACAGTATCATATGATAGTTTAGATTGCCTCTATTTTCTTAAAATGTCTTTTTAAATTGATGTATTTGAGTCAAAATTCAAAGAAGGGTCTCCACATCATATTTGTGTGTTTTGTGTATTAAATGTCTTAATCTAGAGCCCAAACCTCTCTTCCTTTTCTAATCCTTCATGTCTTTGCCTTGTTGAAGAAACGGTTCACTTCTATATGCAAGGTCCCAGATAATGGATTTGTTTTTTTGCTGCTTTGCGGTATTGAATTTGTTCCTTTATCTCCTTGGGTTTCCTGTAAATAGAAAGTTTTTAGCACCAAAGCTTGCTTAGAATCTGCTCCCGCATTTTTAGTAAGAATACTTAACAGGTGAGGTTCTGTAGACTTGATATTACATCACATCAGGAGCCATGCAGTGCCTTCTTGTCCCACTTTTAATGATGTTGAGATGGATCAGAGCATTCAGGTAGTGGGACCTGCTCATTAAAAAAGTTTCTGTTTAAAATTTCATCGAACAGTTCCATCCATTGATCATTATTGCTCGAATCTACTTTTTATTAGTTGCAAAATGGTGATCTTTCGAGTTTTTATAGTAGTCCCCCCTTAAATAAGGGGGGACTTTCTGCAGTTGTCGCTTTCTGTTGTCGCTTTCTGCGGTTTCAGTTACAGTCAACCGTGGTTTGAAAATATTAAATGCAAAATTCCAGAAATAAACAATTCATAAGTTTTAAATTGCGTGCCATTCTGAGTAGTGTTATGAAATCTTGAGCCATCCTGCTCCATCCCACCCAGAACGTGAATCATCCCTTTGTTGAGTGGATCCATGCTGTATACGCTACCCACCTGCTAGTCACTTAGTAGCCGTCTCGGGTATCAGATGGACTGTCGCAGTATCGCAGTGCTTGTGTTCGAGTAACCCTTATTTTACTTAATAATGGCCCCAGAGCGCAAGAGTGGTGATGCTGGCAATTCGGATATGCCAAAGAGAAGCCATAAAGTGCTTCCTTAAAAGGTGAAAGTTCTCGACTTAATGGGGTGAGGAAAAAAATCTTATGCTGAGATTGCTGAGATCTGCGGTAACTTTTATTACAATATATTGTTACAATTATTCTATTTTATTATTAGTTACTGCTGGGAATCTCTTACTTTGCTTAATTTATAAATTAAACTTTATCATAGGTAGGTAGGTATGTATGTATGTATGTATGTATAGGAAAAAACATAGTATGTATAGGGTTCAGTACTGTCCATGGGTTCGGGCATCCACTGGGGGTCTTGGAAGGTAGCCCACTGTGGATAAGAGGGGACAACTGTAATTCCTTTCACATTTCTTAGTGAGAATTTTTCTATAAAGAAAAGCTTTTTCTTATCAACTAATAGTATCTAGTTACTTTGAAGTACACTTGTATGGGAGAGCCAGGGGAGATGCTAAATTCTTCCCTGTAAGTGCCATTTTTCAGAGCAGTGAGTTCTATGGGTATTTCCAGTGATATCCAATGACTGAGGGAAAGAGGATTTCTTTCATTTCTACTTCTCTTGCCCTCTGTTTCCCTCCACTTCTTTCTCCTTCATTTTTTTTAATATTTATGGATTAATGGATTTTTACTTCCAAGCAGTTGTGTTCACTTTTCTTTTTGAAGTTCAATTTGTTTCACTTCTGGACAATGAGAGATCTTTCATGTTGCTTCTCTGTCCTTTTGAGATGACTACATCAGTTTTTGAGAGCTTCTTAGCTTTTTGGCCAATATTGGCCCAAAGGACTTTATTGTAAAGAGAACATATATGATAGCTTACTTTTTGATAATATCCGTTTTCCTTATATTTTTAAACTCTTTTTTTCTCCTTCAGTGTTTAGATAGCATTGTTGGTTAATTAGGAAGAATTGTTTATTCTGAAAATTAGAAAAGTACTCAGAAGCCATCTCTGAATTCACCCTTCACAGAGACTCATCCTAGAGCCTACCTCCCAATTTATTTCTTTTTAGCTTATTCATTTTGCAAAACCTAGGATCAATTTAATAGAGAAAGAGAAATACCACTGTGTGCCAGGTACTCTACTAATTGTTCACACTGTCGAATTTAATTCTCATAATTCCCATACGTGATCCCAGGGGGATTTTATCCCTATTTTACAGCTCTGTTATGTGCTAACAGTTGTTGAGGTAATCTAGAGTTAAATGTGAGGGTAAAGCAGTTCTTAAAAGCCCCACGTAAATGATTTAACAGTGTTTTGACATAAATTGGACTAAAAATTCTGATTGTCTAATTGTGATTTTATATTCCTCTACTTCTGTTTTTTAACATATAAATGACATATACACTTAGAGGTTTTTCTACCCATTCTTTATACCTTTTTATGTGTAGTCCATCTTACCTCCTCTCATGTGATGAGTTTCTAACCTTGTTTGACAAAAAGTAGTGAATGTAAGGACCCTATTACCTTATAATTTCAAGGGGATCGGGCACATTTTCATTCTCATACATGTTTGTCAGTCTGCACGAATCATTTCTGTATATTTAGGTATGCGTCTACTGGCATCCTTGGAAAATTATGATTTTTTTGTATTATTGGGATTTTCTTCTTGAGTACTGGTCCTTATTTTACTAAACATTTTTATGAAAATATTTCTAAAAATTGTTGTTTTTCTCTTTTTTAAAAATAAAGCTTTCTAAATTTAGCCTCTTCATGATGACTCATTTGTCATTTTGAGCATCAGTTATTATATAATGTGCTAAGTAATACACAGATGCTGTTAAATGAACATTCAAGCTGTCAGAAGTTAGTTTTCATTATAATTATAAATGAAATAGAGGGACCAGAAGGGAATTCATGTCATGTTAACTGAGCAGTCTTGCCAGACAATTGGGGAGAGAAAAAGAGGAAGTCATTTAAAACTTTGGCAAGGCCAGTGTTGGTCATAGTTAACTTACCATATGAATTGATTAGCCAATTAAATCTGAAACATATTTTCTCCATCTTTAAACAGCGTTAGTGCAGCCGCCATTAGCCATGACTCCAGAAACTGTGAAAGATGTTGGATTTGGGAGCCTTGTTTTACCAGGTGGTTCTGTTGCCAGTGGTCTTGCTACTTCCACTCTGCCAGCAGGAAATGTTTTTAATCCTCCAACTAAACAAGCAGAACCTGAAGAAAAAGTACCTCATCTTATAGACCACCAGATTTCTTCTGGTGAAAACACCAGATCAGGTAGGGGAAAAAAAAAAAACCCTGGGAATACATAGTTAAATCATATGTACTACTTCTCAATATTAGTGTTTAATTCTGTGGTGTCATGCATTTATAAATATTTCAATGCAAGTGTTGAAATGTTGCGATTTTTTAAAAGAGATCACTATCTCCTAAAATTTCTATTAAAAACAGATTTGGGGGGCTGGCCTGGTGGCGCAAGCGGTTAAGTGCGCGCGCTCCGCTGCGGCGGCCCGGGGTTCGCTGGTTCGGATCCCGGGCGCGCACCGACGCACTGCTTGGCGGGCCATGCTGTGGCGGCGTCCCATATAAAGTGGAGGAAGATGGGCACGGATGTTAGCCCAGGGCCGTCTTCCTCAGCAAAAAAAAAAAAAAACAGATTTGGCATTGTCAGGATAGTGTAGATTTTGACACCTTTCCATTAAGACCCCTCCCCCTCCTTTTTTTTGGCCTATTGGGACTGCTTTAATGTGTTTGTTATCAAAGATTACACAAAATATGTAGATCTACAGAAAGATAAAAATGAACAAATATTAGGTGTAAAGAACTTACTTCTACCAGGTATTATCAAGCTAGGTCTAGAAGATAAATATGGTGTTTGAAAGCAGCAAGTCCTTTTTTTATGGCACCAGTGCTAGTATATTAATAATCGTTTGTGCTTTAGAAAGACTTCTGTTGAAGGGGAGAATCAGTATAAAACCTGACATTCTTGTTTAACTTAAAAGATTTCATGTGGGGCTGGCCCCGTGGCTTAGCGGTTAAGTGCGCGTGCTCCGCTACTGCCGGCCTGGGTTTGGATCCTGGGCATGCACCGACGCACTGCTTGTCTGGCCACGCTGAGACGATGTCCCACATACAGCAATTAGAAGGATGTGCAACTATGACATACAGCTGTCTGCTTGGGCTTTGGGGAGAAAAAGGGGGAAAAAAAAAAAGGAGGAGGATTAGGAGGATTAGCAATAGATGTTAGCTCAGGGCTGGTCTTCCTCACCAAAAAAAAAAAAAAAATGATTTCATGTAAAGATTTTAGGTAACAGCCCCACTTATGTTTTAATATTTAACTTTCACTATGCATGGTATTAATAATTTTAGCTTTAATTTTTATATAGTATCTAGTATACCTTGATTCTTGGGAGGGTAAAGTAGCTGATTAATGCTAAGCTAACTACTGGAAATTATAGCATGAATAATTATAGTTTCCTTTTCATACCAGAATAATTTTTGTGTGTATTATTTTTCCTTTTTCCATTTTAGTGATTCCAAATGATATATCAAGTAGCTCTGCAATTTTAGGAGGACAGCCACCAAATGTGACAAGCAATTCTGGAATTCTGGGAGTCCAAAGACCAAATGTATCAAGTAATTCTGAAATTCTTGGAGTCCGGCCATCTAATGTTTCCAGTAGTTCTGGGATTATTGGAGCCCAGCCACCAAATATTCTAAATAACTCTGGAATTTTGGGAATACAGCCACCAAGTGTATCGAGTAGTTCTGGACTTTTGGGAGTGCTGCCGCCAAATATCCCTAACAATTCTGGACTTATAGGAGTACAGCCACCAAATGTTCCAAATACTTCTGGACTTTTGGGAACACAACCACCAGCTGGGCCTCAAAATCTACCCCCTTTAAATCTCTCTACTCAGAGGATGCCTGCAATGCCAATGTTAGACATTCGTCCAGGGCTAATACCACAGACACCTGGACCAAGATTCCCTTTGATACAGCCTGCAATCCCACCCCAACGGGGAATCCCGCCACCACCAGTACTTGATTCAGCTCTTCATCCACCACCCCGTGGTCCTTTTCCTCCAGGAGATATTTTTAGTCAGCCAGAAAGACCTTTTCTAGTTCCTGGAAGACAAAGTGTAGACAATGTTACTAATCCAGAAAAAAGGATACCACTTGGGAATGATAACATTCAACAGGAAGGAGACAGAGATTACCGGTTTCCTCCTATAGAAACCAGGGAAAGCATTAGTAGACCACCCCCGGTGGATGTTAGGGATGTGATTGGACGGCCTGTAGATCCAAGAGAAGGTCCTGGAAGGCCTCCATTGGATGGTAGGGATCATTTTGGAAGACCTCCAGTAGATATTAGAGAGAATCTTGTGAGGCCAGGTTTAGATCATCTTGGTCGAAGAGATCACTTTGGCTTTAATCCGGAGAAACCCTGGGGGCATAGAGATTTTGACGAGAGAGAGCATCGGGTTCTGCCTGTCTTTGGTGGTCCAAAGGGCTTACATGAAGAAAGAGGCAGATTTCGGTCTGGAAACTATCGATTTGATCCTAGAAGTGGTCCTTGGAACAGAGGATTTGGGCAAGAAGTTCACAGAGATTTTGATGACCGCAGAAGACCCTGGGAGAGGCAAAGGGATAGGGATGACAGAGATTTTGATTTCTGCAGAGAAATGAATGGAAATCGTCTTGGACGAGATAGAATTCCAAACTGGGTCCCCCCTCCTCATGCTCGGGTTTTTGATTTTTTTGAAGGGGCCACTTCTCAACGAAAAGGTGATAACGTGCCTCAGGTTAATGGTGAAAACACTGAGAGACATGCTCAGCCACCACCTTTACCAGTACAGAGTGATCCGGAACTTTATGAAAAACTGACATCTTCAAGTGAAATAAACAAGGAGAAGAGTGACACAGTTGCTGATATAGAAAGTGAACCAGTGGTAGAAAGCACAGAAACTGAGGGGACATAATCATCACTCAGTAGGTAAAAGATACCTTTTGTAAAGTTGTCATCTCTCTGTAATAGATTAATGGCTGACTGGACCATAGTTGTTCACTTTTGTCTGCCAGAATTAAGTTAATCTGATGTTCATGTTCACCTTTCTCTCAAAATAATTGTATAACTGACTTGTATAGACATTGTTCTTAATATGAACATGGTAGGTAAACATTTTTTTATTTTTCTGGTAAAATATAAATGTTGCCCCCAGATTCTTTTAACTTCAAGGAAATGAATAACAGCTTGTCAGAGACTTCCTATGGAAGAAAGAATTTTTTAGATACTACCATTGGGTTGGATATGGTAATAGATATATATCAAAATAGCAAGTGGTGGTATATCTTATCCATATCTTTAGGCTGCTGCAGAATTTTAAGGTAATAGATGAAGCTGTGATATTTTATGCAAAGACTGGCTCTAGATATTTGAGGAGCACAATACAGAGATTTTAAAAAGTGATTTTGTAAAATCTACACTATGGTCTCTGTTTCTCCAAAGTAAGTGTTTGTGATTTGTTCCTCATACTGCAGTGAGTAAAAAAGAAAAAAACAACGACATAAATATTAAAGTACGTTTCAATGTTGGGTGAATTTTGTTTTTAGATGCCAATAAAACTTATTTGTTTGATAACAGTGTTCTAGGAATTGTATTTTTTTAACCTATAAATTCTTAAAACCCTGAATCATTAGCAGCATGTACTTAGTTGTTGCAGAAGTTTTCTGTTACCCTTAATAACAACAATGAAGAACTGTGTGGTGGAAAAAGCATGTACTTTGATGTAGAAATCATGCAGTCTCGTTAGTTTGTATGTAATAGCTGTGTATAAGTATTGTGTAAGTCATACAGAGGTTTTTCTGTTTCTCTGTATGTCTATCTTCATGCACGTACAGAGAAAAATAGAAAGTTGATAGTTTAGATAATAAAATATTTTTTAAAACCGGATAGAGAATTAGAGAAATCTGGCTAATTGACGTTGCCCATAGTTACAGCTCTTAGCCTTTCTGAAGGTAAAATAAGAAATATTGTAAAGAAATACATTGGCAGTTTGGCAATTCTTTTTTAATATAGTTAAGCATGAATCCAGATTCAGCATGGAGCCAACTTTCACATAAATGCTTGCATTGCTTTGTTTCACACTATATCTGTTATTCTGCGTAGATAGTGCTAGTACTAAAGTACTTGTCACTTGCCTGAAGTGAATTTCTTAATTGCACAAAATTTGTAGTGGTGGTGTTGGATTTAAAAACATTAGTTTGTATACCAGGAACAAAGTGTGCATCATGTGTTTCATAGGCTCTGGGTAACACTGTTCAGATTAGCCTCCAAGGTAAACTGAAAGCAGAAAAAGTTGAGATTGGTTTCCACTTTTATTTATTTATATATATTTTTTGCTTTTAATTTTCATTTATTTGCTGTTTATTTCTCCTTTGTGTTTTACGTATATATTAAACCATTAGTTTTTTTTGTTTCTAATGAAGACTTTCATTTGGTCCTATAAATAGTAATTTTGTTTCCTATGCATTTCCAACAATTCATCATTTTCTCTGTTCATCTAAAATTCCTAAGCTACATTTGTCAAGCCTCCCCAGAAATGATAGAGCATACCAGCCGTTTAAAATTGGATTGTTTTTGCTTACCTCTGATGATCTAGAGAGCTGTAAAAGCTTTGAGGTTCCTGGCCAAAAATGAAGTCTTTTCTTCTTACAGGTTCTGAATAGAAATAGTACATTATTTATTTTGTTATTTGGAAAAGTGAGTGAGAGTGGAAATTTGGTGTTTATTTCTAAGGTAGTTCAGTTCAATAATTTGAGTTGGTTTCAGATCTTTTCCTTAGGGTAACAGGAAAAACTGTGACATTGGTACAAAGTTTTAATGTTCAGGAAAGATTAGTTTTGTCCTTAAGGAAACTATATTGACTGAGATTTCTCTCAAACTCCTTTAGTTGCATTTAGCATTATTAAAATTAAGTGACATTCGCTTGGATTAAGTAGCAATAAAATATGTGAGACTTTTCAGTAACTTTTGATCCCAGGCTTTTTATCACTGCTGGGCCTTCATGTGCAAACTCGAAAACAAAATACATACAAGTATTGCACTGGTTTGAAGATTCTGGTAGTGCAAGTTAACCTAATCAGTTGTCAGTACTGTGTCTAGAAACCCATCTTGGAAATGTGTGACACTCTTAAAATAGCTGAAAAAATTCTGTGTACTTGTTCTCACTTTGTCCTTGTTTTGTTGTATAATATTTAAGTAAAAGGATATTATTCGCCTTAATACTGAATTTCCAAAATTGATATTTACGTTCACCATTTTTTTTTAATGATGGAGAGAAAAGTTAATTGTCTTTGATAATAGGATCCTTTGACATAGGACCTCTCACATTTTTGATACTTTTGATCACAGTGCTGTCACTAGAATGCTAGCAGTTAGACATATGCAAGGAGTAACTTAACCACTGTAATAAAATGGTTTGAGGTGCTGCAGGCAGTAGCTACATTAGACAGCAAATCACCTAATGATTTGATTTGTGATATGTTAGAGGGAGAGAATGATATGACTTTCTGGAGTTTTAGAAGACTGCAGTATTTAGTAGACATTAATTTTTAAATGGTTTTTTATGTCTTTAAACATTTCATTCAACACTGGCTTCTGTTCTTAGCATAAATGCATACATTGTACTTTGATCATTTATATCATAGATGGAAACTTATTTTACAGCAAAGTAGTTTTTATCTGCAGCATATTATAGTTGGAAACCTCCTTATTCTAATTTTCTTTCAATATATAGGGTGGACAAATACTTAGAAAGCATTGGCAAATGGAATAGTATAAAATTATTTGTTTAAAACTCTGGAAATGGCTTCATATAATATTTAATTTATAAAATTTGTTCATTATTTAAGCTATTAACATTCTTACCAGAGCAGTTTCTTTCATCCTGATAATTTGTTTCATTAACTTATTGGCCATTTTTCACTCACATAAAAGATGATGTTTTATGGAACCACACATTGAGTTGTTTTGGGGATGGGGCACTTTTACATTTAAAAAGAAAAAGTTACCTCTTTTAATTTGAAAAAGCATTTTTTTATAAACACTGTAGTTCATCAGATCTAAGGTACCTGATTGTAAGAAGCACCAGTCAGAAATAAAATGTTTCCGGTATGACATGCCAGTGATTATAAGACCCATCCCTAATTCAGAAATGTCAAAATGTAATAAGTGTCTTAGAATCAAAGAAATATGGTATTCATTATTTAAACTTATATATATTCCCTTACTCATTAAGTGATTTAGAGAACATTTTGATGTTTTTCATCATTGTATATATTTTAGATAGGCACAACCTTCAATGAAAAAAAAATTTTAGTATTTAATTAAAAATAATTTTGTTATACCTTATGTGCCTTCATCATTATTACTTTATTGGGTGCTATATTAATAAAATGTTTTAAGGGCTTTTAACTCTTTTCAAGGAAAGAAAATGCTAACTTTTCTTCTTTAAATATTTTACATAATATAGAAGAGGAGAGCAGCTATCTTTATATTCATAGGCAAAATAAAAAACTAAATTATTGTAAGTAATCATAAATACTGCAATATGGCAGAGAATTATAACTGTTTCCTTAAATGATGATGCTGTGGTTTTATATAAAGCATCTTTTAAACTATAACTTAAGTTGTAGGCACTAAAAACTTAATTTTTCACTTCTGAAGAAAGAAAATCAAGTTACTACACTCTTTAATGGGAGATTTAAAAACAAGATACCTTGATTCAGCAAAACTTTCTGGAGCTAGAATTTAAAATTAATGGTCCCGGATTGTTTTCATGTGGGGGCATACTTTATTTTTTTTGTGAGGAAGATCAGCCCTGACCTAACATCTGCCAATCCTCCTCTTTATTTATTTATTTATTTTTTCTTGCTGAGGGAGACTGGCCCTGGGCTAACATCCGTGCCCATCTTCCTCCACTTTATATGAGACGCAGCCAGAGCATGGCTTGCCAAGCAGTGCGTCAGTGTGCGCCTGGGATCCGAACTGGCAAACCCCGGGCTGCCACAGCAGAGCGTGCGCACTTAACCGCTTGCGCCACCGGGCCAGTGGGGGGCATACTTTAGGTGGGGACGTGCATATTGAGATCAATTTGAAATGCACTATCTCTGGTTCTTAGCCAGGAGGTGTGTAACAGAATCACCTGTGGAGCTCTTTGCACATATGGGGGAGGGAGGTCGCTACAAACTTAGTAATATAGAATCTCCTGGGGGCATACATATTTATACACACACACCTTTCTGGGTTTATGTATATATTTTAAATCCCCACACACCACTGCTTTAGATATATTAAAATATGTAAATATTTAAGACACCATACTTGAGATTCTTAAATTTTTTTTAAGTAAAATACTTCAGTGATACAAAATTATTTTTAGTGTTTCAATAAAATATAAATTTAATTGTGGCAATTGATGTTGGGGGATGAATAAAAAATAGAGAAGTCCATGATCACAGATGTTTTTAGCTCAGTCTAAAAGTGAATTTATATTATAGTAGGAAAAAGGATGGAAGGAAGCATATGAGATGGTTTTGTAGGAAGTATTTTTGGCTGAAGTGAAAATAACACAAATCAGTGGTTTATTTATTTGGCATGAACTTTGCTCAGACATTTTTCTTCCCCACTACTTAATCCTCTGCTCTTTTAGGGGGCTCTTTTCATCATCCTGTAGGTATGCTTAGAATTACTCTGCCTTGTTCTCGTCAAGATATAGAGCAAATATCTAAGTAAGTTGTAAAATATATGTTAGGGTATCAAGGAGTAGAATTTTGCTAATGGGCTAACTTTATATTGTATGAGAAATGTTAGATGCTTCAGAGAGTAGGATGACCTGCAGTGAAGAAGCTGAGAGTGCTTCTGCATAGAGCTCAATAGAGAGTAGAGAGTGAACTTGAAACTTGTGACTTTTGAGCCCTGAACTTAATGAGAATCAGATGAGTTTAATGAGCATATTACACTTGCATAACTGTGGCAGAGATGTAGCACTTCGTTGACCTGTGTTGTTGTCCTCCCTGCCCAATAGCACTCTCTCCACCCTGCCGTGGGCAGCTATCACTGTTGGTCTTGTTTTATGTTTTTGCCTTTCTCAGAATTCTCAAATCCTTCTCATCATGGCACTGCAGCCTCCTTTTTGACCCATCATTCCAGGCAAGGACTATCAGTTGGCTTTGTCTGTTGAAAGCAGTTCACTGCCCCATGGCATAGTGATTTCTACTGTCATTTCCAGCATTTAAATACCTTGAATCTATGAAACAAGTTTTCTCTTCTGTAAAAGACCAGTTGAGAAAGCAAGAGGAACAGAGGGAAAGACTAACAATATCGGAATAGTATTTAAAAGAGCACAGATTTTATTGCCTTTGGGTTTTCAAAACTGGCTTTAACATTTGCGAGATGTATGTCTTTGGACAAGTTACTGTACCTCTAAGCATCATTTCTTAATAGCTAATCCGCAGGGTTACTTTTTTTTTATTATTATTGAGGCTAATATTTAATGGACATGTACTATGTGACAAGAACTGGGATAATTTTATTACCTGTGTAATATAATCCTCATGACAATCCTGTGAGGTAGTTAT